TTTACTCATATTCTATCGCGATATTTCATTTTCCTATCGTTGCCTAACTTTATACCGGTATTATCGTGAACGGTATAATATGGCCCAGCCCTAATCCTGTCTCAGAGTGATGCTGAAAAACTAGTTCATGCATTTATTACTTCCAGGCTGGACTATTGTGATTCATTATTATCAGGATGTCCTAAAAAGTCCCTGAAAAGCCTTCAGCTGATCCAAAATGCTGCAGCAAGAGTCCTGACAGGGACTAGAAAGAGAGAGCAGATTTCTCCTGTTTTGGCTTCCCTTCGTTGGCTTCCTGTTAAATCCAGAATTCAAAATCCTGCTCCTCACATACAAGGTCTTAAATAATCAGGCCCCATCATAAAAGCTCATTAAGATAAGATGGGGCCTGACCGTCACCCAGTAACTACGGTGCAGGAAAAATAAAGGGTTTTTTGTTAAAGTTTTAATTCAGCTGGTCCTGGATCAGCTCCAGAGCCTGACCACATGTTCAAAGCAATGGTTCTTTCAATAAGTGAAAGAACCAGGATGTGCTGGGACTTTACTCGCACTGAGCTTCAATCAGCTGCATCCATTTAAGACCCAAAATCCTGATGTGACATGTTAAGTGTATGAAACGTTATTTTGTTGCTGGTCAGTCCTGAAAGTGGGGGAGCTTCTCTGACTCTTACCTGTCGGGGAACTGCAGCGTGGCGTATAGCGACTCAGTCCAGGTGTGGTCCATCTGCAGCTCCCTGAAGCGCTGCAGGATCTCTGAGGCCAGAGAGGTACCCTCCGAGGAGCCTGGAGGATGAGCTGCCCTGCTCACGCGACTGATCACACATACACACAGAAGTTATTAAATGGGACCCGACTAAATTCTTTCATCGTTAATAAAATAATAACGTTGCTGCTCTACCAGGTGTAACAATCAAGTTTAACATCCAGGCATCCATGAAAATGGAATTTATTAAGTTTAACAGAGTTAGGAGTTAGCAGGAAGTTAGCTCGCTAGCTTCAGAATCAGAATACTTTATTGATCTGTTCTTGTTTTGCCTTATAATCTGGTGCCTTTATGGTCCGTGGTGGTGAGCATTACCTGACTGTGTTGTGGATGTCTTCATCCTGTAGCAGCTTCCTCATCATCAATCTTAGCTCTCCCAAGTAAAGCCCCGCCCCTCCTTCTGAAGGAGCTTTAGCCCCACCCAGCTGCTGCTCATGCCCCTGCTCTGCTTGGGAGCAGTGGTACCGCCCACTGAAGATTCCATAAGCCAATAGGAACGCTGGAAGGGAGAAGCAATGCCGGCTTTAGTCACATGATGAGACTAATCGGTTAAAATGATTGGCATCTGTTTACCAGCGGTGAACACGATGACTCCGCCCACACAGAACAGCACGCAGCATCGCCGGTATCCATGACGATACCTCATCACCAGAGCTGTGAGGTCACTGAAAGGTCCCGCCTCCTCCTCGTCTTCTGATATCGCCAGCCTCAGCTCCGCCCGCTGAGCACCTCCCACCTCCTCTTCTTCATCATCATCAGACACTGAGTGGTGGACGGACATCAAGGAAGCCTCCAGAGAGAAAGATATAACCATGGTAACAGGGGAAAGGAGGCGGAGCTTGTCTCACCTGTGTTTCACGTGTGTCTCACCTGTGTCAGGTGGGTAGTCATGGTAACAATGCAGCTCTGCAGGCAGAAAACACAGGGACAATCTCAACAACAGGAAACACCTTCATTGTCTCAGGAGATTGGAAATAAAAGCGTCTGGAGGATGTGAGGTTAAGGTGTCTGGGAAGGGATCTCAAAACCTAAATCTGGGACTGAGAGGTGAAACGTCTTCAAGCAACCTAAAGAAGTCCAAATGCTTTTCTTTCCAAGCTCCTTCGACTATGATGACCTGGATGACTGAGAACCTTCACAGACATACACCTTCATTCAGCTGCGAGGCGAGTCTGTGTTTCTGAGCTCCAGTAAGCAGTGCATGAAGTGAAGTCTGATGAGCAGCAGTGTGTTTGGGCCCGGCTGCGCTCCACAGACACACACTAACTGAAGCACCTGTAAGACTTCATCCTTTAATTATTCTGAGCTCTTCTGTTCCTATTTTTCAGTTTGTCCTGTTCAGCTGATCAGAACTGTGGAGAAAGTAACAACGATCAGAAACTTGCAGCCCTGAAAAGTGTACCTTTGAACATTTTGTGTATGAAATGTGATTATTTGATGTGTTAATTTTTGCTTTTGTTCTAACAGTTTTTACAAAGTTCAGTTTACAGTACTGAAGATTTTCACCAGTCCAAAATGTCTCTGTAGGTGTAGCTTTGCTACGACTCGGCAGGTTTGAGTTTTCTCTCTGCTTGTAAGTGCTCTCAGGTGAGGTTGCTGGGCTCAGCCGTCCTTCACACGCCTGGTTCGAGTGGCAGCACCGTTCTCTGCAGATCACCCTCAGCAGTGTGGCGACTGTACTCACCTGCTCCCCCCAAGCCTTTAACTTGGCAACACAGAAAATAACGCTTGCTGTCCACTCAGCTATTTGACCCTCTCTCTCCTCTCTTACAGAGCTCTCTGCACCATCCAAAGGCTGCTTCATAACCTTATTCATCTGACCTAAGCCCCTCACCAGCAGTGAGTGACGGCACCACAGGATCTGAACCTGATGGGGTCGGCAGCACACACACTCAGGAGATTCTCACCTTCACCTCCGGCTCTCTGTTTGGACTCCGGCTGCTCTCAGTTCAGGATCCAGAGCTTCATCATGGGTCAGGATGAGCTCGGGTTTTGTTTTTTTTTACTCCTTAGCCCGCTGTGATTGGCTGCTCACAGGGGTCAGAGGTCAGCGTGTGCTGTCTGTTTGATCTGCTTAACTTTATTAACAGCAAAGTAAACACACGCCCACACCGCAGAGCCAAAACAGCTCTCTGTCATTACAGGGTTTGAAAGAAGAAACCGATCACATGACTGTGGAAACAGATTTATTGAGAAAAGAACACAAACACCCACAGAGCTCCGCCCCCTCCAGCCTGACAGCCAAACAAAGCAATGAGAGACTCAGGACATCAGGAAGCAGCTCACCTGGTTGGGCCTGAGCGGTTCCTGGTGACAGACAGGTGTAAAAACGTGTACGTACACACACACACACACACACACACACACACACACACACACACACACACACACACACACACACACACAGAGCAAACTGAGATTAATAATAGCATATTATATGAAACTCATTTTGATCAGAGCCTGATGAAGATCACATGGATGGAAAAGAAAGATCCGATAAAGAAACACCGAACAGGTGGTCAGGTGATCTGGGACTGCTGGTGCGGACACCTGGTGGATGGATGAAGAACTGCAGAGGTGATCTGGTGAAACCTCAGTGGAGGAGTTTGGGGTTGGATAAAGGTGGGGTTCCTCCTGTGAAGGGTGGAGCAGCTGTGAAGGTGTCATCCTTCTGCTGTGAGCTCAGTGGGACCATCATCAGACTCTGGGAGGCTGAAGCAGCTTCAGTCCTGCTCTGTCTCCAAACTACAAACTACTGAACCCTGACAGGACTTTCAAAATAAAACTCCCTCTGCTATATGATAAGAAAGATAAGTAAATAATGTCACAGTGCAGGCCTGCTTCACTCATCCTTCATCATGGTGCAGAGGTCAGTAAGTCGCTGCGTTGATGTCTGACAGGCTTCGATGACAGTTTGTGGTTGGAGCAACAAGCAGGTTAAACTCAGATTCAGCTCTCTAACAGACTTTGATGAGGTTCTTCAAACCTACGTTCAGGTGCAGTGATGTGAAACAGTGCTTGTCCCTGATTTTCCCTTTTTTGTATGTTTGTCACATTTAAAAGTTTCACATCATCAAACTAATTAAAAAATGAGATGAAGAAAGAGATAAGAGATAAGATAAGATAAGATAGAACTTTATTAATCCCTCGGGTGGGTTCCTCTGGGAAATTCGACTTCCAAAAAAAGCACAGCAACGACCGAAGTTACAGTTACA